CCCCGCGGCCGCGGGAGCCCTCGGAGGGAGGGCGCGGGGCCGCGGCGGCGGTAACGCCCGTTGCGGCTGCTCCCCGGGACTCGGCCCTCCCCGCAGCACGGCGCGTCGCAGCAGGGCCGCGGCGGAGCTGCGCTTACTTGCCTCGGCGGCAGCGTGATCGATCCCCCTTCCCCGTCGCCTCCGACGAGGCGGCCTCTTGGGCTGGCGGCTAGGAGCGAAGGTTTTCGGTGTGTAACAAATAGCAGCAATGACCGTTTCCTACAGGTTCTTCTGCTCCACATCACCTGTGCACGGCGCGCAGCAGATCGGCAGCGCCAAGGTGCCGCACCGCGCGCGCCGTACGAGGCGATGGCCTTGGCTCTGTGTTGCGTTATTGGCAAGGCAGCGCAGAGTAACAGTCCAGCATTAGTTTAGTGCTCTTGAAAGTCCTCGTTTTTCACTGAAGCGCTGTTTGTTTTGAAACAGGTGGAATGGCATCCCGGTCTTCTAGATGTACCTGCTCAGACTAAGTTTGATTACCTGGTGACTGACCTAAATGGGGGACCTCAACCTCCCTCACCCTACGAGGAGCAATACAAGAAGACCACGTTCAAGGTGAGGCTGTCTTGCACAGGGGTTGTGTGTTCCCTCTGTCGACTTGTGTGTTTCCATATGCCACTGGAGACTCTTCCTTTTCCTTGCACTTAGGGTGGTGCAATTGCAGGACAGCTGACAACAGTAGGGATGCAGCAGATGTTCGCCCTGGGGGAAAGGCTGAGGAGGAGCTACGTGGAAGAAGCCAACTTTCTCTCGCCAACATTTAAGCCTGCTGAGGTTTTGTGAGTCTCAGTTCCCTCCTGAACCTTCCCTTGCTTCCTCCCTCCTAACAAGTAGCCCTGTGCTAGGGAGAATTTCTGACCAGCACACTTCTCCACCCTAAAGCAGGCTGGCTGGGCCCCGGGCCTTCATTTTTGCTCAGCCGGCAGAGCCCAGTACAAGAACTCACTTGTGACACAAAGCATCCAATTCCCCAGCAGTCCTGAAAGTGATGCCAGGGACAGATTCATCTCACCTAGGTTTAGCCATTGGCAGTGGTATTACACACTTTTACAGTGAGTGAAGAGAAACAGGCATTTCTGGAGCACAGTTTAACTCACTGTAGATTAAATAGCTGAAGTTCAGTGAGATGAAGCACACCGCTGCTGTTCACAGCAGTAATGTTGGGAATGTCTGGTTAGGATGAGATAAAAATTACACCAGAGAAGTGCCAATTTGTTATCTCCAACTGCCTTTAAAGGGCAGTTCAGACATAGGTGTCTATAGCAAGGCAAGATGAGTCCCACCACAGGTTTCCAAAGCCATAGTGAAAGAACCCTCAGTTCCAGCAAGTCCTCCCCAGCTGCAGCCACGTCCACATGAAGGAGAAAGTGCTATCTCACAAACTGCTTTCTCTCTTTCAGCATCCGATCCACTAATATTTTCCGGAATCTGGAGTCCACACGGTGCCTGCTAGCTGGGCTGTACCAACAGCAGAAAGAAGGTTGGGGAGACTTCTGAGCAGTGTCTTTCCTTCTCAGTCTTCCCTAGATGCACACACCTCGCCCATCCCAACTCTCTCTGGCTCCTGGTCGTTTCTTCTTCCCCGGTTCTTTGCACCTGGCCCTCTTCCCCATACTCTCCTGGTTCTGTATGTTCTTTATCAACTTGTCACTTACTCCCTCTCTTTGTGTAGCTTTCTGCTGGTGCTCAGCTTGGATCTGTTGCCATGAATGCTGCAATTTCAGACCTACAGAGGAGGTTAGCATTAACCCACTTCAGAATCAAGAGGGCAAAAGTTACAGATCCAATGTTAATCTGAAAAAAGTTTCTCAGAGAAACCCAAGCGTCTCAGCCATAGGAGTACCAAGATCCTTACCTGGAGTAGCTTTCAGCTGTATTCCTACAGTGGACAACTACTTGTATGTCCTAGAAATACGCTCTGGGTTTTAAAGATCTCACCTCTGCTCCCTCCGTATTCAGTTCCAGGAATAAATAGCAGAAGTGACTTGCCAGAACTCCTTATGCCTCGTGACACAGAAACTAATTTTTGTCACGTAGAAACACTAGGAAAAAACAAACACACGACTAGAAAGCTTTACAAGGTGCACAGCAGACATCCCTGTGGAATTAAATGCTGCGTGCACAGAAACAAGCACAGTGGCTTGTGTTGCAGGTGCTAGCTCAGGGGGAATTGCTAGTTGACAACAATGGACTTGAGCACAAAGACTGTGGGAGTGATTAAAGCAGCCTAAAGACACACAGAGGCACTAGTGATCACAGAAGTTTCCTTCTCCTTCCACAGGATCTGTTGTCATTGTCACTGACGAAGCAAGCTCTGAAATCCTCTACCCCAATTACCACAACTGCCAGCGCCTGAAATGCTTGAGCAGGTAATTGCCAGCCAGACCTCCCCATATGATTTCACTGCTGTTTCATTTCAGCAGTAATAATTTAAAACAACACATTTTCTTCCCATTTCCCAATTTCTTCCCCTGCCACTTACTGTTTTTTTGGGAATGGTTAGCTAGCATATAAAATACTCAGTGAGCAGCATCGTATACCAAGCAGTGGCACCAGAAGAAAAAAAAAAATTAGAGACTTTTTCTTGAAAGACCAATTTAATTTAGTCTGTGTCTAGCAAACACTCATTACTAGCTGATGTACAGCTATTCTGCAGCGTTGCTGCAGGGCAGAATTAACGTCATCTACATCCCTTAGCAAGCCTTTCAAGTGTGAACATATTGGGCCTCCTTTTTATATTCTGCTTCTGGTTTGGGGGTTATTACAACATTCCTGTCACATTTATACCTTGAAGAAACTGAAATATACTCAGCCTTGACACATTTAACAAAGACTAATGAAGTAAAATAAGGAACATTCTACGCAGAAAAAAACCTCATGTTTGCGGAGTCAAGTGAATGTTGGTGCCAGGTTGGGCATGGGTGGAAACTGAAGAAGAGAGGCAAATGTATTACAGTTTGGCTGGATTATACATTAGCATATTTTTGTCCAAAATTCAAGAGTTGTCAGAATTCACTCGCAAAAGCTCGTTACATAATGCTTGACTCCGCAGGCAAAGGGTTGTTCTTGACAGCGGTGAGGTGATGGCCCATAGAAGTAGTTCATTCAGCCTCCCCTAGTAACATCAACTGTCCAAAAAGCGAGTAAACTGCCAAGCTCTTCCGCTCCCTGCCCCCCAGCCCACCAACCGAGCATAGTTTGTGACCACGTCAAAGTGGATTTTTTTTTAAGCTGCAGTAAGCAGCACTGCCTCAGCTTACAGGCTACCTATGCCAGAGCTTCTAGCACATTTGATTTCAAACAGAAACTAGAGCTGTTCCTAAAAAAATAAAAAGCAAACTTAAACTTTTCCCACCTCCTCCCCAACAAATCAAGATCAGAGAAAACAAAACCTATGCAACATATTTTGCTTGAAGTACATGGCCATTCTCAGCCTAACTTTTTAAAACAAAATTTAAAACAGTGTAAAGAGGCAAATGGCTTCTAACAAAGCGTGAGGTGAATTTAAGCTACAAGTAAGTAGATGTTTCCCTTTTCCCACACCATATGGCAATCAGTTCAAAGCTTCTACCCTTTCTTCTTTCATGAGGCAGTTCAAGGCTACTCCCCGAAGACACAGACTTGTACTGTTCCAGTATGACCAGATCTGTTAACTGATACTCAGCCCTTGCTTATGGGAACCACTTCTGAGGTGTTCACATCTCATCTTAATTTTTAACCCTGCCTCTGTGAGAGCCAATAGTCAGCTCCGATCCTTGACATCTAGACACAGTGTCTGTCCGCTCTGCAACTGAGACTCCCAACATCAGGAATTCCTCAGTATCCTGTGGCGCTTCTCTTCTGCCCCTCACTGATGTGAGACAACTCCACTGGGCTGGGGTCACAAAAAAAACAAAAAAACAAAAAGATAGAAAGTCTGACGTGTGAAAAGATTTTGTTGTGTTTTGTTTTCTTAATTCCCTGACAGGCATAAGTTGAAGAATGCTCTGCAACAGCCAGGTATCTCCGATGACTTGAAAACAATTAAGGAGAAGATGGGTATTGATGGCGATAAGTCCGTGGATTTTCTTCTCCTCCTTGACAACATTCTTGCTGAGCAGGTGAGCTGAGCAGTTCTGTTGCACCGTCACAGAAAGAAACATCCCTTTACCATGCATATGGAGGAAATCAGAGTGCCAACACCCACTGATACCAGTGGGTACCCCAGTACCTTTCTATGCAATCCAGAAAGTTTATAGAAATAGCATGGACTTTTTAAAAAGCAAAATACGGAGTCAGCCTTGCTCTAGGATGGATGAAGACTCATCTCCAGTATTTATGTTCTTACCTTGAAATCCAATATCTCTCCAAGTGTAATGAAGTAGAGCTAAGAGAGCAGTTGGGCCTTGCTTACCCCATTAGAAAGTGCTTTCCGTTTTCTGGCAGTCATCAGCTAATAGAGTCATCTTAATCCTGGTTCCAGCATACTACCCGTGAGCCAGATTGCTTCTGCTACTGGAAGGGAGCTGGGTGTATTTGTAGCCCCCTTAGTACCTCTGTTTTGCTGGAGCTAATGGTAATTGGTCTGGCTGCCGGTTGAATAGCTCAAGGCGTTACGCCCCCTTCATGTAGAAATATATCCTCAAGAACAAACATCCATCCTTTTGGTACACGGAGCAAGTCTGTGTGCTTAAAACCATCCTAGAACTCCTCACACGAATACTGTAGTACAATACTGTAGCACAAATACTGTGACACCAACAGCAGTTTTCTGTGGGCAGTCATCCGTGTGTCTTCAGGCTGGGTTCAGAACGGGTCAAACCCTATTGTTACACTACATCTTCTCCTTCCAGGTGCACAATTTGCCAAGCTGCCCTGTGCTGAAGCACTTTCAGCAGACAGTTGAGCGTCGATCTGTTGACTCGCTGCTTTTCCTTCTGGAAGACGGTTCAAGGTGATTGCCTGTATCCATGCCTCCAGCCTTAAGGGTTGTCTTAGGCTTAGCCAGGGCGGATGAGCTACGCCAGCTCACTGCGGCAGACAGAAGTCCTTTCTGATCTGCTGCATTCCCCCACCAGAGGCTACTGCCCCCTCACGAGGTCTGTGCCTCAGCCATCTCAGCGTAAAGTCCAGTGCCTTGAGTCAGGAACATGAGCTAGGACAGAGGGGTCCAGCCGGAGGAGGCCAAGATGTGGGCTTACGTCCTGTTTTGCTGACAGTCACGGAGAGCAGTCTCCGAGGAACAGGAGTAAGCCACTGAGGTAAGCAGTGAATGCCTCAGTTGCCACAGTTGTTTAAGCGAACCTGTGTCAAAGGCAAAAGCAGAAGAGAATAGGAGATGCTTCCAGCCTGAGCACTGAGGCTGCGCGGGCGAGGCTGCCCTTGCAGATGCACAACTACAACCTGAATTCCAGCCTGGGAGGTTTATCCCAGGGATGGCACCTGCACAGCTGGGCCGAGAAGCGTTGGTGCTAGTGGAAAAAGTGATGCCAGGCCCTGCACACATGTAACTACTTGCAAAAGAATCTGCTGCTACATGCAGTTAATCACCTCCTCCACAGTTGTTTGTAAAGGTGGCTGATTTGCTAGCCTAGCAGCCATTTTCCTTTCGGATTCCTTTGCAGCTGCCATATTCACTGGCTCTTCTCAGGTGGTGGTGTAGGACTGCCTTTTCTGTTAGGGCAGTCGCCCTTAGCCTTTTCTTTAACTTGTATTAAGAGATCTCGGGTACTGAAAGACTGATTTCCCCCACTGCCACAACACCCGGGAGAGCCACAGTTGCACTCATCCTCCATTTCCACTGATGTATTCATTGGGTAGAGGGAGTTTCTTCAGAAGTTGTCTAAAGATCTCCTCTTTGTTCAACACAGGGATAAAACCTAATTTTTAAATATAGCCGCCACCTTCTTGAATCCCACCCTTCCCCTCCCCGCCAAAGACCCCAGCCACTTCAGTTGCTGTTTTGCAGTCAACTACAGTCATCTTCCCTAGCTGAAAACCATGCATCCAAAAATCACAACTAGGGAAACAAAACAGCATAGAGAACATCAAGGAGTTTCTAGATTTCCCTTTATGTGGGCCACACCTCATGAGACTGCTTGTTAGCACCTCTCCCCTCCCAATCTGCAATCACATTAGAATCTCTGCAGTGACTATGCAACTGCTGAAACAAAAATTAATCACAGGAATTGCATTTAATAGTTCTTAGCTACACTCAATACATGTTATCAATTTGTAAGAGAAAAGCAAGTTCCCAAGCGTTCATTTGAAATTATTTAATTTGAAAGTTTATCAACTAGTAGATTTATTTCTGCTTCTTTTATAGAGAAGTTCTTCAGATGAGCGTCGGTCTCCTTTTCCGTACCTTACAGAAGAACATTACAGAAGCAGTAGATCCCTCATCTCCAGCTGAAAAGGCCAGGTACAGGGCAGATCTCTTCCTCTGATCGTTATAAATTCTGACTTGCTGTCAGTGTGAAAAGCTGGTTCAGAAAAGATGTTGAATGTGTGGGTAAAGAGAACGAGTGCTCATCTGCTAGAAAAAGCATGAGTGCTACTGGCTGTCCACGGAGGAACACAGCTAACATTTTAGGTTTGGGTTTGTTTTTCTTTTTTTTCTTCCCTTTTTATCAGAAAGCTCATTCTCTATGCTTCTCATGACGTTACCCTTATTCCTCTCCTGGTGGCACTGGGCACCTTTGATCACAAGTGGCCACCTTATGCTGCAGATGTGACCCTGGAACTGTATCAGGACCGGCAGTCCAAAGAGTGGTTTGTTCGCGTGTCTTACCACGGAGAGGTAAGGTCCCAGGGGAAGTCCACCATACAAATTTTGGGCTTTTGGTTTTGCCATGCGTGCGTGTAAAGCTGTGAAACAAGACTTCTTCCGAGCATGCCGTCAAGCCAGATAACAGAGTAAGACACCTACAGCACATCCGTGGTAGCCAAGATACCTTTTCTGTTGAGCTGGCTATTGATCTAGCGTGAGTTTAGGCAAAGACTTTTAACCTCTGCCTTTCTGTCATTGCCTCGACTAGCGTATTTCCCTGCCACAGAATGTATCAGTATCAGCAAAAAAGGCAATGCACAAGATGTGTGATTTTGTCTCTTTGCCGTTGCAGGAGCAAGTGGTGAAAGGATGTAAAGCACGTCTCTGCCCACTCGAAGAATTTCTAGAAGTTCTTTCACAGTACTCGGTCAGTCCAGAGGAGTACAATAACCTGTGCTCCCAAATGCAGGGGAATCAGCAAACTGACTCATGAATAAGTTGTCTTAAATTAAAATTTGTTTATTGTCACAGTCTTTGACTATTTTTCTTTATATTCCTGCCAGCCTTCCCTATTCTAAAGATGTTTTAGATGAGTGGACTTTTTCCTACCAGACACAGGGTGGCACAGTGTCACTTTTCACTGTTAGCAGCAAGACGAAAGAAGCCACGTAACAGAATGGCTCGCGTTTGCTTCCGAGTATTCACAAAAGCACGGAGAGGCTGCAAACAGCAAGGGAGAAAACAGACCTTTTAAAATTGCCCTGCTGCTTCAGGAATATGACAGAAAACATAACTGTTCCTCATATGCTGGGACTGTGGGATGAACCTCAGCTTGCTCTGTGCTACCAGACTTGAGAGCTTTAACATAATGATTGGTTTTATGTATGGCGAACTGCAGAAGCCACTGTACCTTTCCCTTTCTTTTGTCGTGTTGGAGGGTTGCTCTGCAGACAGATGAACCTCCCAAAATTGCATAGCATTTAGCTACCCCATCTTCTTGAGGGCATTTTTGTGCACACAAAACCTCTCCAAAAGGGACAGAAAGCCTCCAAACCTCTTCCCTGCATGCCTGTAATTATGGAAATTCTGCTGTGAACATGCAAAACAACCACAGTGGGCCAAGGACAAGAACATGCACTCTTGGTGAACTCTGCTTAAATGTGCTTTAAACAAGGAAGTCCAGGGAGCTGCTACTGACTTCAGCTTTGAGCAGTGTTGCATCTATTTTGCACTTGCTGAAACAGGAAAACACTGGCGTAGCCAACAGAAGTACTTCGTACTTCTAGCTGAGATGGTGACACTTTTTCCTGTAAGACTGTACTAAGGATCACTGTGTTGCCAAAATCCCCATTTTTCAATCAGTAAATAAAACTTGAATCCTGACCTACTTTCTCTGGGATATGTAAAGGCTAAAATAGGGGGACCGCTTATTAAAACGGCCCTGCAGTTTTGGTTCTGCGTTACCCCTTCTCACTTAGCGAAAACAGACTGCAGTGGTGTTAGTGCAACTCATTGACAGGTATGTGACTGGAGGCACTACAGTACCTTCTCCCTGAGAAGCGTGGGCTGGATTTACCTCTACTCTTTCATTAGCCTGCCCCCACCACAATTACATGTTGACACCACGCACAGCAAACAGAATAATTTGAATACTAAATACATTGCTGGAGGTCTCACTGAACTGCTATTAGAAGCTGTCAAAAAAGCAAACAAAACATTGTTATTTTCCACCAAGTTTTTATACAGCCTAAAAACATAATGCCGTTATATAAAAATCAATGGCCTACCCTTGCTTAAGAACACTGTGTTCTACTCTACTCGAGCTCTCTCTTATGCACGGTATAAAGTATTTGGAGAACGGCAACGGAAACATTAGGCATACGATTGCAAGTTATTTGTGAGGCACGGACTGCTTGGGAAAAGGGTATCAGGGAACAGCATCAGAAACTTTGGCCATACCAGTAGACAAAGGGGGAATTCGCATACTTTCTCCTAAACAAGAGCCAGGAGCATCTCCCAGCAAAAAACTGACCAGCAACCAGGTTAAAAATTGCAACATGGTCAAGACCCACAGAACTTGGTAGCGCGAGCTGTCCTCGTGCACAAAAGACTGTTACACAGCATGGAAGAGCTGAAGCATTTGTGAGAACATGGAATAAAAATTTCCAGAAATCAGCAACTTCCCAAGGAACCAGTGCATTTACAGGAATACGGCGACTATTTGCAAGAGCTGGGAGAGACACAAATCCCAGGGGACAGAAAAAGAAATCCAAAACTTTCTTACCCTGAGCTGTTAATAGGAGAACTGCTGACATAAGCAGCTAATGTGTTCAACCTCAGGTTCCCTCAAACTTGAGCTGGAGCTGCTAACCCAAGTTCATCTGCCTCCCTTGCTATTTTAGTCCAATGCAGTTAATGCAGGTTGGTCAACTTAAACCTAAAAGACTGTTTTTTTCCATTTTGCATTGCAAACCTATCCTCATATAGTAGGTTTCATTTAAGGCAGCGTTAGTATAGTAGGTAATTGGCAGGAAAGATGTCAACCTAAATTTAGGTTTTGTTTTCACCTCACGTAAAACATCATATTTTAAAGTTTCCAGTATCCCAGAGAAAACAGCATCGCTTTTCTTTCCCACCTCATGCTCTGACTCAATCATAAGCTTAGAACCTGCGTGCGTAATGAGTCATGAGGACCTACATCTCTGGCATGAAAGGTTTGCTGTTTGAAAGTCAAAAGGAGATCAAGCGGATAGCGAGCTTGGTATGTTTGTCAATAAACCCAACATAACAAAGCTAGCCGTTTGGGTTTGGGTCTTTTTAAGGCCTGAAGAACACTCCTGATAATGCGCTTTAACCTTAGGCATAAAAATATGATAAAACTAGGTGTTACACATCTACCAGAACAAACGGCATTAACAGAAATGATTGGAAAGCACATGTACTCACCAAAAACTGAAAAATCTTTCAATTAGAGGTCACCTCGCCAGAAAGATGACACAGCACATATGCAAGACAACTTACCTTTTTTAGGTTAAGAATTACTACCAATCGATACAGTGAAGTGCGCTCTACTAAATACAGGCATACATCAAACATGGATCGTTTCTGCTCGAGAAGTATCAAAGTAGGGAACAGGTTTCAGCCAACAGCCTGCCAAGGCTGCACGAGGAAAGCATTCACCATCGTGAGTGCAGAAGAGCACCACCAATGAAACGTAGCCTTTTCTGCCACCAGAATGAAACCCAGTGTAGTAGACAGTCAGTGTACCAAGCACCACAAAATTAAGCCCTGCGTGTACCATATTTGTAGTAGTCCCAACACTTTGGTATAACAAATACTGCGTTCCAACAGTTTAAGAAGTGTGTTTAGGATTCGCACTTACCCTCAGGAAGAGTCGGGCACCCACATCTACTCCAAGTCAGGATACAGGTATTGTGTACCAGAAGCACCACCGGCATTCAAATCCCAACCAAGATTGATACAGATAAGATCTCCACATACTGGTCTGTCTTCTGAAATGTTACCCATTAGATACCACTAGGAGGTCAGGACTAAACTCGCAAGGCTGGCTACTTGCTTGTCACGTTCTTTGGTAGATTAGCTAGCCCATGATACAGATACAAAGCTCGAGTTTATTTGGACGGTGCTTAAAACTGCCAGTGTACTTCACAGATGACCTGTTTGCAACAGTCTACTACTTTAAAACAAACAGATTTCAAATATTTTAAACTTTTGATTTAGCAGGCGCATTACTTTGCGTTTCAGAAGTTCACCATCTGCTGGGTTTACCTTTTAAGTCTCTCCGCACTCCGGCTGCGCGGCCATCTGGGATGAGATAATTTGAACAGCAGACTGTTTCCTCCCATGTTACTAGAGAGGAAGAGCAGCCAAGCATGTATGAATAAAGTCTATTTCATTCTTTCAAACAAAGGTGGAGGAGGATGATTTGAAAGTTAAATAAAAAAAAAAAAAAAAAAAAAAGAGGAGGGGGAGGGGAAGAAAACTAAAAATGGCAACCCCACTTTCCGTCTTCAACTGCACCATGACTACCAGAGCTGAGTCACAGTTACTATTGATTATAAACAAGCAGGAGAGAACAGAGCCTGACTTACAGATCCCAAGGTGAATTTGCAAGGCTGGCAGCTAAAAAGCTTTTTCATTTAGGAAGCAAAAACGGGAGAAGTAGAATTAGAGCAAAACAGCCTACGTCTACCGAGTTGCTTTTCCAACCGGAGCCAGCTAAGGCATTAGCATCTCTTGTCCATCACCTGGTGCAAACCAGGCAACTCCACTGAGGTTAAGTGCACCTACGGGAAAAAATCTCATTAAGATACCAAATACCAGCATCTTAAGTCAGATGGACACAGAAGGAACTTTAATTGCCCAGCATCTTTAAAATGTATCCTTTCGCTAGCAAGTGGCTTTGAAACAATGAATCCCCTATGCTTACTTTTTTAGAATAAGTCGCAGTCAGCTCAAATCCTTTGCTATTCAAAATACCTCGACAGGCAGAGGAGGCACTGAGAAAGACTGTTAAAAAAAACCCAAACTCTCCAGGTTATTTCTATGTCAATCAAGAAGTTTGCTTTGTTCAACATGGCAAAAACAGTCAGGAGTCGTGGCGGAAGCGGCAACACTTAAAAAGGTTGCTCTGTGACAATTCCCATGCAAGGTCCTCAAAAGGGAACTGTGCAACCATTTAAAGAAGAGGTAACTCCGCTCTACAGAAATAACACTTACTGTGTCATTGTCAGCTCCTTCTAAAATCTTGACAAGCCCGTGCTTCAGGCACGCTGCTTGTCTTGTTAGAGGGAAGCACCACAACATACATCCTACACTTTGTCAAAAGAGTAATTCTCACCCAAAATCATTGTAAATTTCCATGACAGCACAAAGGTGAATTTGGAAGCAGGCAACAGAAGGCTCTGAGGCTTGCGTGCCTCCAACAGTGCATAGCTTCACCCACGTTGTAACGCTAGCAATGAAACTGGTAAGCCAGCCACCTTTTTTCTTTTTCCACCTGTTAAAGATCAGTTAACTCTGAAAAACTCTCATGCACAAGCATATTAGAGATACCCATTCTCCACATGAAGTTTCACACTAATAGCCAGCCCTTTGAGGAAACTACTAAGTGAAATAATTTCAAGTAACAGTAAGTGGAAGGAAGACCAGAGATTACACACTCCATATACAGTGCTGGGGGACCAGAGAGCAGACAGCCACAGAGCCCACACCCTGCCCTGCAGATCCACAGCTGGCTCATCTCGGACTTCTCCAGGAGCGGGGCTCAATTCCCAATCCACGTTTCGGCATCCAGTCTTTCACTCCTCACAGACAAAACCAGAAATTCTCTCAAAAAGCAAGTTTGAAAAGACAGGGGATTAGGAAGCGATCAATGAGAACTGCGGCAAAGCAACAATTTACCCAGCAGGGTTGTCTTGATAAAAATCTGCTCACCGACGATTTCTCTCTCACCTTTGTTATTTAAGTTCATCCGTTCCCCGCTATCTCGGCCTCTGAGCGCTGGCAGTCAGAGACCCTACCCAATCCAGAGCCCCAAGGGGACAGACAACTCCAGTGCCCTGCACAGCGCTGGACTCCAGCAGACAGATGCCGCTGCTTAGGGAAAGCTCAAAACCATGTACCTTGTAGCGCTGCAAACGCTCACCAGGAGGAAGTGACGGAGACAACAAGTTTTATCTATTCCTTGACCCTCAACAAATTGAGGAAGACAGACTGTAACTATCATCCCTGGGGCGTTCTGAAATAAAGACCTCACTCTGCAGAAAAACAAGCTCAGTTCAGGATTAAGCGAACAGAAGTGCCTTGCAAGGAGCACACAGCTGCCTACAGACCAGACTTTTAGGAGCTGCCAAAGCTTACCCCACCTGGCCTCTAGGCTGGCTGTGATCACAAGGAAGAGCAAACAGTCATCTGGCCAGCCATCTGACATTCGTAGAAACAACTGCACTGGATAAAGAAGACAGTTCGTTTTTGTAAGAAACAATATATTTTATTTTTCTGACACCACAGCCCTGGCGAGTGGTTTTGTACCAAATTTAATGGAGGTTACACAGAACGTTTTACGCTGGGGAGGAAAAAAGAAAAATAACCACAAAAAAAATCCTGGATAACTTTTAGTGTCTGTTCCACTCCCACATTAATAAAATCACTTGGGGTTTCTAAGAAAAGGAGAATAGGAAACAGTGAGAGAGACTACTGTAGGATGTAACAGTGCCCAAGTCCAGCCCCTTCCTAAAAGTGGGAAGAGTCCCCACATGAGGAGAGGCTCTCCTAGATTTACTCCCCAAAATAACACAATGTATTGCAGCTGCCATAGGAGGAGACAGAAGGGGGACGGAGAGAGAGAGAAGCCTATTTAATAAAGAGTGGGAGGGAGAGACAGAAGGTGCTGGACAGCACGCCATAATTTGAAAAATATGTCCTTAACTTATTATTTATTTCTTTTAAAAGATTCCCCTCACTGAACTTAAGTTCCTTTTTGTGCTTTTCATTAATACTCTGCTCTGAGGTCGTAGTTTGGTTTTTCTATACATTGGAGTTGAAGGAAAATAGTCCGAAGTTCTGAAGATGGATTCTCCACCTAAAGTAAACAGCCTAGAATCCCATTCTCCTCTCACCCCAAAGACTAAAGTCTCTGCTAAAATCCCTTTTACAATATAGTACAGTACACAAAAAACCCCAAAAATAACCGAGAGTCCTGGGAGAAGCCAGTCCGAAGGACGTAAACATACAGAGAATGGTGCAACTTGTGACAAATGGCAATTCTCAAAATACAGCTACAGATTCTCAAAGCAGGTGCCGTCACGGGATACCCAAGTCCACAAAAATAATTTTTAAAAAATAAATCTTAAAAAAAAAAACAACCTGTTAAAATGAATAATTTTTTTTTTTCAGGTAATTCCATACATTCGAGATTTCCCAAAGCGTCCTCTGGTCTCTTTTCACCTATTGCATGGCCAAACTGTACTCCTGAAGCTCCCAAAAAAGCGCTCAGGACTTGGAATCTCATCTTGACAAGGATCAGAACATCCAGTCTTATGGTAGCAGCTTAAAACATCATGTTCCCTGGGTTTCCAGGGCCTTGGCTAAATCCTCCCATGCCAACATCAGCAGCCATACCTCGGGGCCTCATCTGGGGGGGAATCATGATGTTTTGTTGGGGTCCCATCATGCCCTGCATTGACATCATCATACCAGGTGACCCCACAGGGCCCGGGTGGCTGTACAGCCCCGCAGGGGCTCGGTCCTTGCCTGGGATCATGCCCACGGCGGCCACGGGGTTACTCATTAGCGCGGGCTGGCCAGGCATCGCCGTTTGTGCTGGTGACATCATGCGGTGGTGCGGCCCCATCATGCCTTGCTGCAGGAAGGCAGGCGGTCTCATCGGGTTATGACCTGGCATGGACGGAGCCGTCCCAAGAGGGATATCCGGAGTTCCCACTGGCCCAGGGCCCCCCATGCCAGGCAACGTTAGTCCCATCCTTGGGGTCTGCTCTCCTATCATCCCCTGCATGTGGGAGAACCCAGGCCCAGGACCCTGTGGCTGCTTGCGGCCTGGCACCTCCCCACGAGGGAAATACTGTAGTGTCTGGCTAGGCTTCTCCGACGGGATAATCCTGGACAGGTCAAACTCTGGTATTCCCGTGGCTCCAGGACGGATCACCTCCTGCAGCTCTGGATCAGTGAAAACCGAAGGCATATTGTTTCCAAGAACAGTGAAGGAGTCTGGACCGCCAGGGCCTCCAGTCTTGCAAAGTGCTGGATCTGTCGAACTTTGGGGCAGGTTGGTAGGACGCCCCAGAGGTCCTTCTCCATGGAAGCCCATTCCCGCTGGGAAGTTGCCTTGTCCACCGCTGGGCCCGTTGTGTGGAAATGGCACCTGCTGTGGAGGGGACTGTACGGGAGGGAACCCCTGCGGGAAGCCCAGGCGTCCTTGAGGTACCATTGGAGACTCCTGGGAACCATGCCCCATCATTGGGTTGTGTGACATCAGGCCGGGTCCCACGGGGACCCCATGAGGAGGTATATTGGGTCCCATAGCATTTGGAGAGGGCATCTGGTTGTTATGGGAAAGAGGCTGGGTCATTCCCATTGGGCTAAGGGTTGGCATTGGACCCACTGGGTTCGGACCTGAAATTCGAGGATTCTGAGAATTAATGCCCATTCCTAGGGAAGAAATAAGGAATCACATTTAGGTAACAGCCAATGACAATCAATAAAGCTATCAGAGAGCTTTCTGCAAGGTTACCAAGTCTGCACACACACACAAAAAAATTAGTGCTAATAAAAAACCATCAGTAGTGGCTCTGGAAAATGTTATTTTAACCAGAAAATTGATGCCACCTGCACAGCTGTCTCCCTAGGCTTGTCGCTGCCCTATCAAAAAATGACTAAAGCCTGCTCTTCAAGTAGGATCTCAATCCAACCCACACCTTTACTACATCCCTGGCAGTCTACATGATGCAGGCAGCAACAAACATGTCTGTGACAGATTATCAGCATATGGACACTTGTCCACTGGGAGGAGGCTGAATCTCCTTTCAAAACTCAAGAAGTGATAAATCAGGTAACCCTCGTCAGACTAGCAGGCGACGATCAATGAGGTTAATGAGCTATCATCATGAACTTATTCAATTAGCCAGCTTCCCCAGGTATATTCAGCCACTCTGATCATTACTGCGTGAAACAGAGAGCAAAGCTACAGGTAAACTCATCAAGAATTCATTACCAGTTGCCGGTCTCATGAAACATCTACTCATCCCCTCTTTCCACTATGTTAATTCAATTGGGTGGAGGGGCTACAGCCTACTTTTGTATTAAATATGTACCCACAAACATTAAGCTATCAGCAGGGACTGGATTTCTCATATAAACATGCTCACCCACAAGACAGCCCAAAAGGACAATGTTGTATATTTTACTTTTCCTTTAACTCTCTCAGGTAGGGACCAGGACAGTTTCCCTCAGTCCTGGCTGAGGTCACCTGCCATTACACATTCCCTGTATGAAAAGATGTATGCTTTGAGAAAGCACTCTAACACTCTCTTCTGTAACAAAGGCAATCAACAAAACCCAGGAAAAGACCAGATGATTCAGTGTCAAAGCAAAAAAACAAAAACCAAAAAAAAACCCCAAAAAACCCAAAACCCACACACAACTATGAAGCTTCTGTGACACTGCCTTAAGACAGGGGAAGAATGGTTTCCTCTGGGTAACACATTGTAGGTCTAACTCTTATTCCCATGAGCTGCCTTCACTGACACAAGTAACTCCAGTCTGCCCAAGTGGAAATCTCTCCCATAGATACGGGCTTTCCAGATCAGACACTTTCTGGACAGAAAAAACTGCTTGCAAGGAGAATTTCCATCTCCCCATTTCAGACAATTGCAACTGCCTTCCTCAAAAACAACCCATGGCTATATATTCTTCAAGTTTTTCCCTCTCACCATGTTCATCTGATGAAGCTTCCATAAAAATCACCCTCACTGTACTGCCTGATAGCTTGGGCTTATGTTTCTTTGAGTTTCTTACCTGGTACGCTGTTCATAGGTGGCAAGTTTGGGGAGCGTGCTGGAGGGGAGTCATCATCCGAGCTGGCCACAGTTTTGATGGCATCATGATAGAGCGGTGTAGAGCTGGGCATGGCAAATTTGGACATCCTGGACATCATAATGGATAGGGGATTCTGGGAGAGGGTCGGCTCTGGAGGCATTGTGTAAGGACTGCTAGAGGGAAGATTTCCAGGGAGAGTCACAGGAGCAGACTGGCTGACTGTGGAAGGAGGTGGACCACCTTAGGGAGGGGGAAAAAAAATAAAGAGAAAGGAAAAAACACCTTTGTTTTCCTTCTTATCATTTTTTCCCCGAAATCTCACCCTTTTCTCCTAGCAATCTCAAAAACTAGAAATCCCTTTTATTGCAAGAGATGATCTGACTAATGCAGTCGAGGCCTGTGAAAGGTAACCAGAAAAATAAGCCTATTGGTCAAGATGGTTAGCATTTCTTATCCTGGATTCTGCACTTCTATTGGAACTACCTTGAGCCTCTACAAATCCACACAAAGAATTATCAGGTACGCCTGAAAATCCTACTGTTCATCTTCCATGCACTGAAGAAGGCAGACTTACATACCAGGTCTAGCCATAAAAATCCAAATCCATAATAAATTAATGGCTCCTGCGCCTACCAAATGTCAACTGTAACTCCTTTCCCTTTTTCTTTAGGAGGCATCAAATAAGCACAAAAGACATAGGCAGCACAACGCAAGCTGTAGCGGATATTATGCCGAGACATACAGGCAGATTTCTGACAAGCTGCACCAGCAGCTACAAGTAAAACTCCTTGTTTATATTTCATTTCAGGTTTTATATACACATATTTACTGCTCATTCCAGTTAAAGAAACATTCTCTGTGCCTATCAGCTTATCATCCTCTGCTCTCCCAAAACTAGAAATAACTTAATTGCACTTCCAGTCTCCTTTGTTCTTCACTGATGAATTTCATGCCACCCAAACCACGTGCGAAGGAAAGATGCTAAACCAAAGTTGTGCTATCACTGAAAATTCACTGCACGTTCCTCGGCTCACCCCAGAAAAAGGAAAGGAGACTAGTGAATACAAAAATTCTGCAATGCCAAAACATTGATGCTGTGGAAGAGCTGCATGTAAAGGCATTTGTTAAGCACAACGCTAGGCACGGACTAAAGCATTCGGTTCTCTCTTGGAGGCGCTTGGTCTCACGCAGCAGCCACGAGGGACACCAACATCCAGGCTCCCGGCATCCAGGCTCCCTTCCCGAGCAGGGAGACCCGGCCAGCCATCCTGCCAGCCAGTGCCAGGGGTTACCCTCCCCACCACCGGTCCCCTGGTCCCCGGGCCCGGGCAGGCACGTCCCGGCCGCTGCGCTGTTACCCGCAGCAGCACTAGAGGGCAACGCGGGCAAGCCTCCGCTCCCAGCCTCCCAAGACCTTCCCGGGCTGGAAGGCCGCCCAGGGCTGCGGCGCTGGGAGCCTGGACAGAGGGGCAAGCGTGCTCCGGGAGGATTTGGGAGAGGGAAGGAGAGGGCAGAGGCGTGCTGCCAACAGGCCAGGGACGTTCAGGAGCAGACAGGGCAGAGCCAGCACCTGCATCCCGAGTCCCCAGCACAGCACGGCTCCAGCATGCTACCAAATGCTACATATGGTGGTGGTTAGCTCTCTCCAAAACAGCTGAAGCCTGGACAAATGTTAGCACACCTCCCTGTCTGTGGTGATTAACCTAGAAAGCCATAACCATACCTGAAGCATGTCTAGATACATGACTGGCTAACTACGCTCAGCATCAATTTGTAGGAGCCTTTATTTCAAAGCATTTTCAT